GATCAGAAAGAAAGTGTATAATGGTTGACTAAACAAACCAACAGCAACATCCGAATAGGCAAGACTTAGCAGCAGAGTTTTCAAAGGTTTTGGCATTGTTGAAGTTTTGTGCATGGCGTAGATTGTCACAATATTCAACATGAAGGCGGTGTAAGTAAGAAAAATGTTAAAGACACAGTTGGCGATACAAGTCGCACGAAGATCTTCAAGTTCGGTGAATATGGGCAAATATTGCGAAGACTGGTTACAATACAATTTGTTCATGATTTTTGCTTGGAGCCGCTATTTCAGACAAATAATGAATGGTCCGCGATGTAGCACCCTCCGTCATTTAACGATCAAATAAACAGTCCTTAGATCTCGGCAGATGGTTACGGCCGGTGCTGAGATGGGAAGTTGAAAGAAAATAATTTGAATTATGAGTTTTCCTTGATTACCACCATTCGCTTAACACTTATTACATTGCGTTTTTATAAAATAATTTAAATATTACGCGCGCTCTGATTGGCCATAAAACCATTTTACACGAGCGTATGTAAATACGGTTTTCGTTCCTCTTTCATTAGTTATTTTATAAAAGAAATGTAAAATGGTTTCCGTGTTTACATAGCCTGATGTAAACACTCGCTACTTCCTACGCTTATCTCGTGTTCTCCCAACCTCCCGCGTGTTTACATCAGGCTGTGTAAACACGGAAACCATTTTACATTTCTTCAGTAAAGCTCGTTTAATTTCCCGTTCATGTTTGATTATTCTAAAACAAATTCTGAAAAAATAAGAAGGTTACGGACCGATCATTGTTTATCGCAGGGCAGGGGTGGGGGGGGGTTGAGGGTTTTTGGGGTTCGGAGGATTTTGGTTGTCATGAAGAAATTTACCTGATTTCCCCATAAGCTTCTGTAGTATTCTTAGAATCCTCTCTCATTGGCAGTTCAATGGCAACCAATTCTCTGTAGTCCTGTTAAGGGTAGTCAGTTAGAGGTCTCCAAGTGGTGCCAGACCCTCGGCATTACCCAAAGCGGGAGTGAGATAAAGTCCTCAAAGAAAAATTGCGCTTGCCTTAATGAGAACACACTTTCACGGGCAAAAAGTTGAAAAGCATCTGTTTGCGCTTATTTTAATGAATGGATCATGTTGCAAGCAAAGATCCTGCAGTATTTTTCTTTCAATTTACGACTTTTAACTTTGAAGTGTGACATTTATTGCTAACATCATTGTGACAATGTTAAATATTTGCAATTAAAAAGATTGTCATCGTTATTGGTTTCGTTTCCACAAGTCTGGCAATCAACTAGGCTTGTTTGGAAAATAGGAAAAAACAAAACAAAACGAAAATAGCTTTTGAGTAGCTTGCTGTGACCATGCAATTACGGCGTTTTACCTAATTTACTTTTTCCGATGACATGGCACAGAACTTTCACCTTAAATGACCAAATTTTACGGCGACAGTTCACTTCTTGCGTGACCATGCTGATCGAGATATAGTTCTATCTTTCTTTATAATAATTTGGAGGAAGATTAAAGGTGTACATAATTTAAGCGGCTAAAATTAGCATGTTGGAGTCGTATACGGTGCTCATATTAATAGACAGTAAACTCCTTAACTCCCCTATTAAAGCGTAATTTAAAGAAAGTTTAAAGCAAGCAGATAATGAGAATGGCAAAGATGATCAATTTCGGGACATGGTATTGATAGCAAGATGGTCACGAATAAACCACAAATAAATGTAAGTTAGGATCATGAGTGAAGGGAATAAACTTCCGGCCATTTCTTTAGAAGTTAAAAGCTTTAAATGATTCCACGATGAAATAGTATAGCGTCACATTTGGAGCGTCACGTTTTTCCGTCAGGAAGAGAAGAAGCCATGAGCACGTATTTAAGAAGGAAAGGGAAATTATTGCCTATCATTGTCTATTGATTGAATGGAAAACGAAAATAGTTGATTGATATGCTTGAAAACTAAATAAACAGCGAAGAGCATTTCGTTTCCCTTTGGTTACACTTTTAAAAATTTAAGTAAAAATTTATTCAAAGCAGAATGCTGCATACGAAAACGAAAGTTATCGATTAGTCTGCAGATGTTTTAATGTGATTTTACATAATACTAGCTGACCGGGAATTTTATGAGCTTAAAATTAAACATGTTTTTCTTTGTAATCTTTTTTCGCTTAGACGCAATAACTGATAGGTTTTTCAATTAATTTAAGAATTCTTTCTAATTTCTCGACAAGTTAATGGTCAGTTACGTAAAATATAGTCAAAAAATTATTCTCGATATAAAAGTTTGGTTTTTTCTTACAGATAATCGACGGCTTAAATTTCAGGATTATCCGTTATGATTACTTGGTGATTTAAAGATGTCTTTCAAGATCTCGGAGATTATTTGTAACAGCGTCGACTTTTCCTAGCTCTTAGGAAAGACAGAAGGGGTTTCAGTTGTCGCCAACAGAATATTAAGAGGAGACTGACTGACCAATTAACTGTCACCTAGGGAAGGAGGGGCCATAGGAATCTTATAGAATCTCATGGGAGACTGTGTAAAGATTGTTGTGACTCGACCAAGATCCTCTAACACCCCTCTCCCCTCTCCCCACAGGCGATGAGTGATGACCAGTCTCTTAGGAGGATAAATGACAGATGAACTATTTTTAATGGCTTTCTGCTGTAATA